GCAAGTTTGTAGTAAAGTAGTTCAGGAATGGACTGTGTAAGCCTAAGAATCACAAAAAGAATGTGACAGGGAAAGATATGAGCTAAAGACATCCAAGGATTAGCAGCTAAAGGGAGAGAATCTGACATTAGAGCTGTGTAAAAGCAACAAAAAGGATTCTCAATCCTGAGAGACCCACAATAAGGGACATAACATCCTATGTAATAGATGTTTCATAACCCCCTCTAAATCCATGTGAATAATGCATTTATGTTGGCACTTCAATGCTGGAAAGATGTTCATGTTGTGGAGGAAACTCAGAGACCAAGCAAAATGATTAAGAAACTGAAAGGATTCATTATGAGCAGCCATAAAAGAAGCCAAATCCATGCTTTGCCTGATGATGGTCACAAGGAGATAGGGGAAAGGTCTGCAAATTACTGAATGCTGTAATCACCAGGAAGGGCAGGAACAATGGTCAGCTCGCTCAGCTGGGCTTAAATCTTGGCATGGACATATCACAGCCATTGACATATTCTCAGTGTTGGATCTTGAACGTTTAAAGGCTTTTTGAATAATATATAAATGGGGATGCTGTAACTGGTAATGTTCTCTTTCTTTTTTGACTTTTTGAGACAGGGTCTTGCTATGCAGTTCAGGCTGGCCTTCAACTAAATTTGTAGCCCAGGCTGGTCTTGAATTTGCAACTATCCTCCTGTCTCAGCCTCTCAAGTGCTGGGATTACGAGCATGTGTCACCACGCCTGGCTGGTAATGTTCTATTATCAAAAAGAAGAGGACTGGATTGCTTGACAAGAGCACGTAAAAGGCAAATTACTGCTCTACTAAAGGAAAAAGCCATTCCAGGAATACTAGTTGTCCTGAGAGAGTTAAAAACATACTAATTCTCCACTCTTAGAAGCATCAAATGTATGCAATTGTGGGAAATAATATATAGTTTGGAATTATTGAAATTAAATCATAAACATGTAAAGATAGCTAGCTACTTCCTTTCTCTTTATTTTTTACTCATTTAGTTCTCTTACATTTATCCATCTCCTATAACTAATCATTATCCACAAGCTGTCACATCTTACATTGGTAATTCAGCATAATACATACCACACAAGGTCAGTCAAGGAAAGGATAAAAGGAAAGGGAAAGGAAGGGAACAGAAGCAAAGAAAGGGAAAGGAAGGAAAGGGAAGGGAAGGAAGGGAAGGGAAGGGAAGGGAAGGGAAGGGAAGGGAAGGGAAAGGAAGGGATGAGAAAGAGAAAATAAAAGAAACAGGGAAAGAAACCAAGTTTGTAATCTATTGATATGACCATGGAAGCAGATGAACTAAGAAGAAACAGCCAGTTTCAATAGAAGATAAGATGAGGATACATGAAAACAGCCTCTAACCCAGGTGGGAGAAAGGTTAGAAAAGCTTCCCAGGACAGTTGGTCATTATGTCAGGTCCTGAGGAAATCTCAGGAGTCCATTAATCATGAAAAATGAGAAGGAACATCATGAGTAGGAAGGGTAATACACTCAAAGGGCTGGAGGTGACAAAGTGTTGAACCACTTTGACAGGATGTATGTGAGACTAAAGAATAATTCTGATTATGTGAGACAAATAATAATATTTAGAAGGTGACCTTAAAAATAATAATCACATTATATTAGGGTTGTGGCTAACTTTTATTTTCCTTGTTAATGTTTTTCTTCTTGTTTGTGGGAGGCTCAGCTCTACCTGGGGTGGGGCTGATGTAGCATGTGGTGCCAGGGGTCCCCCTGTGCTTCTGTAAGCTTGCCTAAGCAGGCACAAACCACCAAGCTATCTCACTGGCCCTTCCCTGTTAATTGTTATGCTTTCTTATATAGCCAAATGGTCGCAAATATAGATATAATATTTATTCTGTGCTTGATAGGATTATAAGAACTTTATAAAAAATTTAATTATTTTATCCAAATAACAACTTCATGAGGTAGGTGCTATGATTATGCCTCATTCACATTTGAGGAATGGAGTCAAAGAGGTAAACAACTCGGAGAAATTAGAAAAATGGCAATGATGCTTGTTTGGGGTATCTCCAGAGTTTCTATATATACTACGATTAACTTATAAAGTCAAGAGCCTAGTTTTGTATCATTTACTCATATAATTCATCTAAAATTTGATCTGGACCAGGGAGATGGCTCAGTAGAATAAGCGCTTCCCTAGCAAGTGCAAGGGCCTGAGTTTAATCCCCAGTTCTGACAAAAAAAAAA